CTCGACACGTGCAGGTGAGAGGAGTTCTGATACCAAAGCCAAACCTTTCATCTCCATGACGATCAGCTTCACCCTCCACAGCTACCAGGACGCGCGCAGACTCCTCGTCTAAAGCTGCGTGACGCCGACGTCTCTTTTTCTAGAAACCTGCTGAGAGTCGGTGAAAACATGAAGCAGCCGCTGTGAAAACCGTCGCCTCCTGCATATGCTGGGCTCATTTCAGACGTTTGAAAAGGCCGACGTGTCGAGAACCAAGAGGGGGAGAAACCCGGCGGCTTGAAACGAGAACTCGTTCGTTTTCTGTGAATCACGCTTTTTGAAATTGGAAATGAATTATTTTTCGACACGTTAGCATAACCCAGGTGGGATTAGGAGCGCGTTCGCCTCCCACGTATCCGCTCGCAGCGTTTGGGGCCACTTCTGATGCGTGACTCATTGGATGGTTAGAAAAACGTCTTAAACGTCTTAAAACGTCCTGCAGCTGAGTCACTGTCTCATTTTTACAAGAACATTAAGAGCAATTTTAAAAACCGTCCTCGTAGCCCGAAGAATCGATGATATTTTGAAGAAAGCATCTCCTGTAACGCCGCTCACAGCCACGGCGTTTTAATACTGTCACATTTAAATGTTTTATAACTGAAGTATTTATAGACACATAAGAACGTTTTGTTTGAGACACAGGAAGTCTTATAGCACAGCTACTGTCCTGTTCATCCACCAAAATAAAAGCATTTAAGCTTCCTGCGTTGTTTTTAACCACTCTGTCCAGTGAATGGTAAACAGACGCCTGCAGGCGGAGCTCAAATCCTCAGTTTATGGTTCACCTGCTCAGCAGCGAGCTAACCTGTGCATGAAACATGTCACCACCAGGGGGCAGAGTTTCACCTGCGGAGCTAAGTGGCAACATTTAGCTCGATTTAGTGATTTTGATTCTCTCTCCCCAACCAATCACAGCAGATGGCCCCGCCCCTCCCTGAGCCTGGTTCTGCTGGAGGTTTCTTCCTGTTA